CCGAGGCCCTGCCCCCACACCAGGGCTCCAAGAGGTGGCGAAAACAACCAATGACCATGACATGTACCCACACCCAGCTCAATGTGGCCTGGGCACTGTGCCCACCACCCACGGACTGGGTGGCCAGGGCACTCTGGGGCTGTAGTTCGTCTGGCAGCTTGTCGGGAAGAAGGCAGAATGTTTCTCTGAGAAAGAAAGAAGACCTAGCAGAATAGACATGAACCTGTCCACCAGGCTATCCTGTTGGTCCCATGCATCCCACTAATCCAGGACAGATAACCACCAAAATGCTCCCAAAGACCTTTCACCCATCAGCTCTCCAGCCACCTCATCACCAAAAGAACTGAGTTTGGGTTCTACTCTGAGGCCCCAAGCCAGAGCTCTCACATGGCAAGACTGATGACAGAAGTGCCTAAAGCTCTGGCAAAAAATGAAGAATTTTTTTGTTTCAAACAAGCAAACAAACAAACAAAAAAACCCCAAACCCCTCCAAGGATCATTTGGAGTGACTCTAGGAACAGAGGTGTTCTAGAACACTGAGCCCAGGCAGTACCAGGCAGCAACACCATGACCAGAAGCCCCAGGGACAGCCCGTTCACCTGGCAGACCTGGGCCAGAACAATTTTCTGTCTCCCCTTGGTACCCTCCTCCTGAAAGTCCCTGGGGGTCAGGGGACGAGGTTGGTGAGGCTCATACAGCTTCTGCCCAGGGGTTTAGGGCTTCCTGGCAGAGGGACCCCTGCTGTTCTCCCAGATGCAGGCAACCCCGACCCGCCAGTCACCTTTCAGGCCATTGCGTCCCATCAGTAGGCCTGAGATGCTGGAAAAATCTAGGGAGCACCCAGCATCCCAGCTCTTCCTTCAGCTGGGTGTTTCTGAGGACGGGGCTACTGGGAAAGGGTTGGAACAAAAGCATCATGAGTTCCCCTTAGAAAGAAAACCTTACCAGGAACAAAGACAGGAAAGCACATCAGGATGGGTTAATTAAGGAAGCAGCAAAATTACCTTCCCTTGATGGCTTCAGAAACCGGGCAGAGGGAAAGGTACTAACCATCATCCTAGGCATTTACTACCTCCCAAAATCTACAAAAGGTGGTTTACACATGTCTACGTAAGCAGGTGACTGGTTTACAGACATGAGAACCTCTTAAGGAACCTCGTAGCCCTAGAACCTTTGAGTAGAAACTCCACGGTCCAAGGGGAGAAGAAACCATATCACAGATCTCTGGGAAATGCCTGACAGCTCCATACAGAGCCAGAGGAAGCAGGCCTGACTGCAGGGGGCGGGTGCCTTGTTGGAAATCCCCACCTCCCCCCTCCCACCACAACTTCTGAATCTCAAGGAAGCAGCCCTTTCTGGGTGGAGCCCCCTTGGGGGCTAGCTCCCCTGGCTCTTGGTGGCAGAGGGACGACGACATCAGCTGGGGGTAAGCAGGTGGGCTTTTCTGAGCTCGGCAGAAACATCCTACACCCCTACTCCCTGCAATGGGCCTGCTGAGGCTACAAACAGAAGGGTACAGCTCTCCACCCTCCCGGGCCCTCGTCCTTCTCAGTGGGCCCTTGACTTTTGCACTCAGATTCATGGAGCAGGAGAAAAGAATTTTGATCCAGCTGGGGTTTTCAGATCCTTGTCTGTACCAACACTCTCTTTCATCTCGCCAGACTCGGGGAACAATTTAAGAGTAACTGATCCAAAACCAAATACCCTAAAACACTTTCCCTGAGGAGCCAAGGGAGGAACTCACATCTTCCTCCAAAGCTGACATCCCATTTGGCTCTCCTCTCCTCTCTCCCCCACACCAGTCAGTCATGTCCGAAATCTCTCTCCATCTCTACTGCTCTACCTAAGTGCGGGCCTCCATCCCACTAGGATGACAGTGACAGGGCCCTCACTATTTTCCCCATGGCTGCCCTTGCTACACCCAAAAGCATTCTCCATGAGTAGCCAGAGAGATTTTCTAAAATCTGTTCCCACCACTTCCTGATTAAAGAGCTTCTCGCCCTTCGGTTGAAGTTCACATTCCCTAGGCTGGTTCACAAGGGCCTTTGTGACCTGTCCCCTGCCTGCTGCTTCTGCTGCTTCTCTCAATCCTCATTCCCCATGCACTGTCCCCCAGCCTTATCCCCTCCAGATGTGTCATTCTCTCTCCAACCTCTAGCCCTTAGTATGTGTCTCTCACAGCCTTCCCCTTCCTCCTGCCTCCCCTGCATTCATCTCCCACCCAGATGGCAGCTCCCTGGGATCACTCCCAAGACTGGTCTTCCGGTCCCTCCTCTGTGCTCCTTGGGACCCCGTACTGGCGCCTGTTGGGGAGCTTCTCAAACAACACTGATATCCCCTGCTACTTGACCGTCTCTTCCGCTAGACCGTGAGTTCTGAGGGGCCTGGGGCTATGTGCGGCTTGCTGCTAGCTCCCCAGATCTAGCTCACCGTGGGTGCTCAGCACATGTCTGTTTAACGAGTGGAGGGGAAGACTAGATGGAAGGAGAAGAGCTGCTTGTCCCAGGCCTGCTAAGGGATCTCTATCAGGGCTCCATGTCTATCCCCCTGCTGTGGCTCACCCCTACTCCCAGTGGATCCTTGCTGGCAGCTACAGGGACACAAGGAGGTGTGAGCCAAGCATTCTTGTGAGAAGGAAACCCGAGGGGCTGTCTCTCCCTGGGGCCTTCTGAACAGGCCATGGAGAGGAGCCATGACGCCTGGTCTCCATCTGTGTGCAGAGAGAGAACAGATGGCCGGCCGGTTCCCTCGGAGCTCCCTGGGGACGGGCCATGTGTGGACACCGTTGATGGATGGCCTGACGGGCAGGGTGGCCGCCGGGAGCCGTCCTCGCGGGGCCAGAGTTGTCAGAGTACCCCACCCAGGAGCCTCGGGGAAGTGGGAAGACTCTTCTTGGCATGAAGCTGAGCTTAGAACGGCTGCCAAGGAAAGGAGCAGGAGTGGGAGGAAGAAGAGGAGACGGAGGAGGAGGAGAGCCACCGTGGTGGTCGCGGCACTCTCACACCAGCTCCGGGTCTGTCCCGGGAGGCCAGAAGGCTGGGCCCGCTCTGCTCCTCCCTGCAATGGCCTGAGTCCCCGCCACCTGCCAGGGAGGGACAGATGCAAGGCTTCCTCAGCCCTGTGCTTCTCACTGTCCTCTCCTCTCACATGGTTCTCAGAGACTCATGAGGTTGGAGTTTGCTGTGTGGCCCCTGCCGGATTCCCCTAGGCATCAGCCTGGGGAAGAAGTCCTCTAGGCACCGCTGGGCTTGCCCCCACGGGGGCTGAAGCAAGCCAGCATCTCAGGGATACCAGCTCCGGCAGTACTGGGGAATCTACCGGGGCCTCCGAAGCTGAAACACCCCCTTCTCCAGGGATGGCGGAGCAGCCGCTCATTGGGAAGGGAGAGCGGCTGAGAAATACGAGATGCCAAGATGATCCCTAGGCCATAAAGAGAAAACAAAATAGCATCTGGGATGCCAGGCCCAGGGCCCCACAGAGGCCTGTGCTGTGGTTCAGCAGGGAACTGGCAACAAACCCCCCAGGGGATTCATTCTTGAAGAAGAAAATTCCATCTGTTAAAAATAACGTCAGCCTGGGAGAAAGTAGACAGACACGGCGACATGGTATGGGCTCTGGTTCTAGGATAAAGCCCGCTTCCGCCACACTGTGGTTCCCTGAGCTCGGTCTAGTCCGGTGACTGGCACACAGTACGTGCTCTGTGTGATTTTCTGGAATGAATGAGTCCAGGTCGTTCCCTGGTTCCCACACCAGGCTCCCTCCCACTCACTACCCCTTCCTGACTGGCAAAACTGCCTGAGCTCTGCTGGGCCCAGGATAAAGGAAGGTCTGGAACCCACCTTCAGTGCTTCCTGCCAGACTCTGACTCTGCCGTTCCCAGGCCCTCCAGGCCCTCCATGCTGCTCAGCTGAGCTGCCATCTGAATATCTGCTTCCCCTCCCGGGGAGAAAGCTCGCATTAGGACTCTGGCTGCTTCCTTAGCGTTTCCTCCTACTTCTGACTTTGACCCATCTGGCTGGTCACTTAGTGCTGACAGGTCCTGGCACTGGACCAGATCTGGGCAATCCTAAAGCCCACAGCTGGGAGACAGGGATGGCCAGAGGCCAACCTGTCCTTCCCGTTCTGTCTCCAGTGGAACATTCCAAACTGATACATAGCCACTCTATTGAAAGACCCCTGGGGTTAGAGATCACTGTCCCCGTGGAGACCCTCTCATACATAGACTAAATCTTTTCTGCTCCTGTGGGCAGGAGCCCACTGCTGTTTTGTGTGGGCCAAATAAAGGCTGGGGTCTCGGGGACACTCAGATCATACTATTTTTGTGGGCTTGATACCTGTTATGTTTCTGGGGTGTTTTCTTCCTCTAGGAGAGGTAACAAAGACTCTTAGAACCCGGGTGATCTGTATAAATCAGGTCCAGTCACTCTCCTGCTTCAAACCCCACAATGGTCCCATTTCATTGGGACAAAAATCTAAACTCCTATCATGACTTACAAGGTCCTTCATGATCTGGCTCCTGCTTGTCTCTGCAACCTACCTCCTATTCAGCTCCTCATTCAAGGGCAAGAGAGGCCTGAAGTCATCTTACCCAAGAGCTCGCAGAACAGCTGCACAGCCTAGATGTTCCAAGACAGCCCTGATTTGAAATAAGTCATCTTTTTCTTTCAAGTCTAATGCCCAAAGATGGGACTCCTCTCTTTTTGTCCAGATGCCGGGCTGGACTAGCAGTCCAGACTATCTCTCATCTGAAGTGACCCATGTGAGCCTCCGTGCCCTGATTTAGGGCTCAGGAAACAAGGTGCCCAAAGCCTTCACCCTTGTCTCCTGAAGCCTATATCCCCATAGACCACCCTGTGCTAAGGTTATCCCACCCTGCAGGCCAGGTAAGTTGTCGCTGGGGCCAAGAAGTGGCACAACTTCACAGCTCCTGGGTACCAGTCATCCACCCAAGTACAGTTCCCAATCCTGGCTCCGGCCCAGCTGCACAGGGGGACACTCACATCAGCTGGCTCCCTGCGCAGTCCGTCACCGCTCCGCAGCCAGCTCCGGCTCAGCTCGCTGAGCTCCGGGATGGGTTGCACCTTGAGCCGCACGCTGTCCCCAGACTGCCGGATCATCTCCACGATCTCGTCCCTGGACTTGCTCTCCACGTTGTGACCGTTAATCTCCACCAACCGGTCACCCGGCACCAACCCCAAGGCCAGGTCCTTGGTGCCCGCGCCGGGCTCAGCGAAGTGAACCACCCTCCGGTAGACCTGGCCCTCGGGGCCCCGATCCAGCATGGTCGTGCGGCGCAGGGAGAAGCCAAAGTCTCCAGTGGGCCTCCGCTGTAGCTCCAGCTCCCGGAGGGCGGGCGGGGGCAAGGGCACCACGGGGGGCAAGCGCAGGTCAGCCGGGAACCTTTTCGTCACCAGCTCTGGGACCCGTGACCGGGGCCCTGGCCGAGTGAGGCCAGAGCCAGGATGTTGCACCAGCTGTCCCTCGAGGGTCCTCACCTCCACCTGCGGGGATGGGGCAGCAGAGTGTTCCGAAGGGGTGGAGGTCTCTGAGGCGCTCTCATCCCGGCTCCGCTGGGAGAAGGAGAAGCGCTTGACGATCATCTGTGAGTTCTGCTTGGCCAGGGAGCCGAACTTGGCCGCCCGCTGCAGCACCGAGCCCCGGAAGCTGCCTTCCTCCCCCTTGAGGTCATCGCTTGAGCTGGCGGTGCTCAGGTGGCCCGAGTCCAGGATGACACTGCCCCTGTTGCTGTCGGAGTCGATGTCCGTCAGGTGCAGGTCGGAGCCGCTGGCCACCTTGATGGGGATGGGGTTGGAGATTTCCAAGCGTGTCTTGGACTCACGTTTGGAGGAGCGGTTCAGGTTGAAGAAGCCACGACGCAGGCTCATCTCCTCGAGGCTCCTCAGCTCCGCCGCCGACATCCGCTCCTTCTTCTCCTTCTTCTCCTTCTTCTCCTTCCGCCCACCATCTTTGTCCTTATCTTTCTTCATTAGGTTAAACATGGTGGGGTGTTGCTTTGGGGAAGCAGCCCCGGAGGATTACGGGTGCTTAGCACAGGGCCCTTGTACCCCACCTTGCTGCTGCAAACAGAAGTAGAGAGAAAGAGAGAGACATTATTCGCGCAGAGCCTCTTCCTGTGTCTCTAGTCCAGACAAGGCGAACTAACGAGAGCGGGCTCACTGTGCCAGGTGCTTGGCTTGATACAATACCGTCTCTGTTAAGTTAATCCTCACAGCACTGCTACGGGAAGGTCTGCGATTACCCCCATTTTACAAATAAGGAAACTTGAGGTTTTGATAAGGGTTGTAAAAATGCAGACTCCAGAGCCTGTCATCGCCTTTCATTCCTGATAGGTGTGCACCGAGGTGGCTCCCGGAGCTCGGACCTCCTGGCAGGACGGTGCCATCAAGCCGACCTGAGGCCTGACTCAAGATTCAACACAAAGGAAGAAGGAAAGGGACACAAAAGCTGCCTTAGCCACTACCTGACAGAGAAGCTCAGAGCACCAACCCTTATTTTGTGATTTCCAGCTGCCGGGCGTGTGACCCACACTCTCATTTGAGCCTTGCAGCCTCCCCGCAAGGCAGGTGTCCTTATCTCTACAAATGAGAAAACAGGGTGCAGAAAATTAAGTATATGTTAGCTGTCACCCGGCTAGTTGGCAGCAAATACTGTTTTTTCTCTGGGCCCGTGGCGCCCCGAGTGAAGCAGGGAGGGAAGGGGAAGTTCCAGACTGGACAGAGGACAGACAGTTGAGAGGTGGGGGGTTGGGTCTGCTGGATAAACAGGATTCTGAAAAACTCATATCCTTTTCCCCAGACCAACAACTAAATATAGCCTTGGGAAGAAAGTTGTGGCAGCCCAAGAGACAAGCCAGCTTGGGGACACCTGCACCCACGGCGGGCACCCGACTGAGGACAGGACTGAGAAAGACCTGGTGGGGGTGGAGTTGCAAGCTAGGGAACACATTCTAACCAGCCGGGAACGAGGAGTAGAAGTAGGCCATACCATCTAATTAGAAATTAAGTGCAATTTTTTTCTTTCTCCAAGAAGGCCTCCCCCTCCGAGTTCCAGACACATGACCAACGAGCTCACTTCTTCCAGCAATGACCTTCTGTGAGGCCTGGGAGAGGCCTTTCCTGTCTGCATACCCCACCACCACCACCAAGCAAGGCCCTCCAGGCTCCCCAACCTATTGAGAGGGACCCCTAGCCCTGATACAATGCCTAGGGGAACATCAAGGGCAGGAACTCCCAAGGGTCCTGGTGGCTCTGGCGAATTGCCTCCTCCACGCCCAGCACCCTGACCCATGAGGTTCCTGAGAGATCGATGTATCCTTCCCAGAGCAGCGCTCATCACAGAAATATGATTCAAGTCCCAGGTGTGACTTAAAATTTCCTAGCAGCCACACTAAAAAAGGTAAGAAGAAACAGGTGAAACTAGCTTTAATGATATACTTTCATATAAATATATCCAAGATAGTGTCATGTAATCTACATGAAAATTATTGAGAGGGGAGCCTGGGTGGCTCAGTGGGTTAAAGCCTCTGCCTTCAGCTCGGGTCACGATCCCAGGGTCCTCGGATCGAGCCCCGCATCAGGCTCTCTGCTCAGCAGGGAGTCTGCTTCCTCCTCTCTCTCTGCCTGCTTCTCTGCCTACTTGTGATCTCTGTCTGCCAAATAAATAAATAAAATCTTTAAAAAAAAATTATTGAGATATTTTACATTCTCTTTTCCATAAGAAGGCTGCAATGTCCCATGTGATTTCTACACTCAGAGCACATCTTAATTCAGAATAACTATATTTCAAGTATTCAACAGCTACTGGCTATTGAACTGGGCAGTGAATTCTAGAAAAATCTTTAATTGTAGAGCATATCCAAAGAGGTGGGGAATCTGGCCCAGTTATTAGCTCCCTGTGGGCCTAACAGGCACCCCTTGCCCCCCTGACCTATTTCTACCTAGTAGAACAAAGTTCCCGCTGGACTTTTTGGTTCAAAATGCTCCATACACACAGTACCTGGGAGAGGAAGACAGGAAGTCTGGGGTCCCGGAAGTGCGAAGCCAGGGGCAGCCCTGTCCAGCTGAGTCTAGGCTGATTTGGGGTTGGGGGGGAGGCTACCCTCTTCAGGGCTCTATTTTGACCTGGGGAGTCTCTCTCTCTTTTCTCCTGAATACTGATGGGGTGGGGCACAGACCTACCATATAACAGAACGTAGGATCTTCTGGTGGTCACTGCCTCCACCCAACACTACCTACACTGTCTTAAAAGACTGATTTAGGGGCGCCTGGGTGGCTCAGTTGGTAAAGCATCCGACCCTTGATTTCGGCTCAGGTCATGATCTCAGGGTTGTGGGAAGGAGTCCCGTGTCAGGTTCCAGGCTCAGCATGGAGATTGCTTAAAATTTTCTTTCTTCCTCTCCCTCTACCTACCCAACCCCCACGCTCGCACTCTCTCTCTCTCTAAAAAAAGGACTGATTTAGAAGATGGCTCCAAAGGCACCCATTTGGGAAATGAAGAAAGAAACCCACCTTGGGGACTGGAAGGGGACAAATGTGTCCGCTGGCCTCAGGTTCAGCCCAACCATGAGAACCCAACTGCCTACCCACACTATCCCAGCAAGACACCTCTTTTGGTCTTCAATTCTTACTCTGTAATCCTTACCCAATCTTGACTCTCTGCTGGGTGGGGACTAGACATCTAAGCAGTATCAACGGACAACAGGCCCCAGAATTCTAGAATCTTTGGGCTGGAAAGGTCCCTGAGAAGTAATTTCATGGAAATCCCTGTCTTGGCAAAAGCTTGCCCCTCACTGCCATTGTGATGGATAGGAACCACACACAGTCAGCCCTAGAGCAGCAGCATGGGGGCGGCGGTAGCCGCTGGCCAGGAAGGTTAGCAGCTTTGCTATCTAGGCCCAGATCTGCCAACAGATCACTAGGGGACCTTCAGCCTGTCACTTTGCTCAAGGCCGGACAGGATGACCTAGGTCTCTTCTAGCTCGAAAATTTCAACTATCTAAGTCTCTTGTGGACACAGGTTGTTTATTAACTTGCTGCCGAAGTTACCCCTCTCATCCCAAACCTGGAGCCTCTGGAGACTGAGTCCATTTCAGGCCTCCCCTCAGCACCCCTGTCCTGCCAAAGTCATGCACACGGCTCCCAAGGTACCCCTTACTCACTGTCATCCCCACAGCTGCCTGGCTGTGGCCTAGGTTTTCTCCTGCGCTACCTGTCTAGAGCCCCCTGCGACCTCCCTGTCCAGGGTCAGACCCCTGGTACAGGTACTGCTACTCCTCTGTTCCTTGGAGCCCACTCTGCTGGACCCTGGGGCTCTGTCACCTTCTTGTAGACCTTGGACTTTTCAGCATCTCTTGTCCCTGGGCCCAAAGACTCTAGCAGGGATGACATCAGCACCTTCCCGTTCTTCATTCTGGGCTCCCCTTCATCTCTTACCCTGTCCCACGAAGGGAACCTTACAGTTTTCTGACCTCCTTCTCTGGCTTTTCCCCCTGAGCCTATTCCAGGGGGCCTTTCCTAATTTTACGTGGAGGAAAGGTATGCATATAAGTTAGGGTCTGTACCTACATCATTGTGACCCCTCTGCTCCCCAAATCACCGCAAAGTACAATCCACTTGGTCAACTCAGAGGCCTCAGTATGTTAGGACAGAAAGTGTCTTGAGGGGGGCGCCTGGGTGTCTCAGTGGGTTAAAGCCTCTGCCTTCGGCTTGGGTCATGGTCCCAGGGTCCTGGGATCCAGCCCCGCATCAGGCTCTCTGCCCAGCACAGAGCCTGCTTCCCTTCCTCTCCTCTCTCTGCCTGCCTTTCTGCCTACTTGTGATCTCCGTCTGTCAAATAAATAAATAAAACCTTAAAAAAAAAAAAAGAAAGAAAGCATCTTGAGGGCAAGGACCATTTGACTCCAATATGCACCGACCAGTTCATCAACCAGAGAAATGATTTACATATTCATACAATGGAATACTACACAGCAAGCAAAAGGAAGCAATCACTGATCCACACAATAGGGATGAATCTCAAAAACAGGGGGTCAAATGACAGCAAAATAAGGCTTTGACAACAGAGTACATACTAGTATGGTACTATTAATACGAAGTTCTAGTACAGATGTCCCTGACTTACAATGGTTCGACTTAACCAATTTTTTGACTTGATGCTACGCATGTGTGAAAGCAATTTGCACTCAGTAAAACTCATTCTTCACATTTTGAATTTGGATCTTGTCCTGATGTAGCGATATGCAGTGAGAGGTTCCCTAGGGATGCTGGGGAGTGGCAGCAAGATGCAACTCCCAGGCAGCCATGTGATCACAAGGGTAAACAACTGATACACTGACAACCATTCTGTACCCGTGCTGTACCATTCTGTCTTCACTTTCAGCACAGTGTGCAAGCAATTACATGAGATAGTCAATACTGGATCATAACATAGGCTTTGTGCTAGATGATTCAGCCCAATTGTAGCCTGATGAAGGTGTTCTGAGCACATTTCAGGGAGGCTAGGCTAACCTATGTTTGGTAGGTTAGGTGGATTAAATGCATTCTCGACTTACAGTATTTTCGAGTTACGATGGGTTTATCAGGAAGGAGGTAAAGCCACTGTAAGCCACAGATGTGGATAGATAAAAATAAGCTATGGTGAAAAAAAAATCAGAACACTGATTACCTCTGGATGCTGAGGAAGGGGGTAGGGGTGGGAATTGCCTGGAAAAGGGCATGAGGGAACTTTCTGGAGTGATGTTCATATTACCTTAATTATCTTGATAGGGATTTGGATTGACAGGTGTATACGTTTGCCAACAGTTATCAAATAGCATGCAAAAGATCTGTGCATTTCAGGGACGCCTGGGTGGCTGAATCGGTTAAGCGTCTGCCTTCGGCTCAGGTCATGATCCCAGGATTCTGGGATGGAGCCCCACTTCCAGCATCCTGCTCAGCAGAGAGCCTGCTTCTCCCGCTCCTTCTCTCTGCTGCTCTACTTGTGCTCTGTATCTCTCTGTCAAATAAATAAATAAAAATCTTGAAAAAAAAAAGATTTGTGCATCTCACTATGTGAAGTA